GTAGGGTCAAGTAGCCATCCAAAAATATGCCAAATGCGTCTAATGTATATGTCATCTACACATGACTTGAAGACACGAGTGTACTAAAGTGCATCCGAACTTTGCGTTCATTTATGCAAATTGAACGCCGTACATGGTACGGCTTTAGGCAGGTACACTAGGCTTTTGTTTCAGGACCAATTGATATTAGAAAAACGCCCTTTTATTATTTTATAATAATAACTTTGATATTATTTATATAATCTACAATTATTGAATGGAGTTATAAGAATAAAAATAGAAATACTATAGAAATAAGCAGGAGATCATCTGGAAGCGGATGTTTCCAGAGACATCAACTCCCGAACACAGGTAGGTGGAGGGATGTACGAAGGATGTCAATAGCAATGTCGAGAAGATAAGCGTTATAGACGTTGTTGTTTGTTGAGAAGAGGAAAATTGAAAAAAACATTACCCTAAAACCAGCAATCCCATTACAAAACCGAACGCTAGGTTATCGTTGCAAGGATGATTTGAATCAAAAGGAAAATTATATGAAATTATGATTTTATCATTTTTATTATGAACTTAAAAAAACCATCATTTCAGAAATAATTAGGAGGACATCATGAAAGGACGCTTCTAATCATTTCCATCAAGGCGAAAAAGAAAATGCGTGACAAGTTGGTAGTAGTGTAGAAGACGATCTAATGAAACCTATTAACATACTAAAAATTCAATAAACGCTTTAGAATAGACATTTAAGTTCCGAACACATGTGCGAAGGATGTCAATAGAAAGCTCAAGAAGGTAAGCGATATACGCACTGTTTCCTAACGAAAAAAATCCAAACCAGGATAATCAAACCAGCTATCCGAATAGAATATAGAATGAGAAACGCGAACTGCATGCAGACACTCACTTTCACAAAAATCAAAAACTAAACTATAGCTCTCAGATATGAACACATCTGTACTTTCATTTTGAGCATCTCACATCAGCTTCCAACAGTCCATCTAAATGGGGAAAACTTGCGCCCGTGAGATCCCATCTATTCATCGCTTTTTGGTTTATAGGATCAGGATGAAGTTCACACCAATAACGTGAGAATCAAACTCGGATTCATGTCTGTGAAGAGGTATTTTATTGAATAACTTTTCAAAACAAAACACTTCTTCCTTGTCAACCGCATTGGGATTTGATGCTCTTTTTGCAAGTGGCTACCCTCATAATGAACATAACATGCTCGCTTGTCTCAATCATAAGTTATTACTATTTCACGAATATATAATATAAAATATTAAATTCGAACAAAGACAAAAAAGAAAGTAGCTTCTCCTAAAATAAAAAAAATGAACTGTCGTTGCTTCGTAAATGATACAGTAATGGCCATTGAGATTTGTCTTGAAAATTAGCAAGTGGTCATGCTTCGTTCTTCTTTTCAAAATAGAACTTAAGAAATGCTATTTTCAAGACAAACGAGAACTTCGTCTAATGAGCAGAAAATTTTATTAACATTCAGCTTTCATTGAAAGTGTGAAACTTTATGGTATAACTTCGCATATTTACCTCTAAACTCATTTTTGGTGTCTTCGGCAAACTCTAATGTGAAAGGATCACAGTCCTCGTTATGTTCTCTGTGAAGTTATTTGATCTTTAGTAGCACCCTTAGTGAATCGTTTTCTAACTTTCTTCCATTTAATGATAGTCAGAATAGTACTTCTAGTTGATGGATTGAGGAAAAGCACAAGAGTTGAATGAACACTAAAACAATGTCCGAACGTTATAATCGAGAACTCAATGAGACCTGAAAAGAAACCGATAATAATTAATATTTCGTGGATAGCTATGATTACATGGATTGACACGGATGAATAACGTCATAGTTATAACAAGTGGACCAATACTAAGAATGGAAACTGTCGCAGACGTCTTGAATGATTGGAGTCGTCATTGTGATGCGTGGGAGGGGATAAGATACCTGTGTTACAAGATTCTTCAATACTTTAAAATGATATTTCATGATAGCTTTGGAAGAAATAGCTTCCCTTTTCTTGACTTCAGAAACTATCTCATGTATAATGTAGCCAATAATCTGTTAATCATAACCAAATCAAAATTGAAAAGTACTTCGTAAGATCCTCACTGAAGCTTCGGCTGCAACGACAAAAACCAAGTAAAACATATAAACATAGGTATTTATGCTTTTGCGTGGAAATATAACATAGGCATGTTCTTTGAAGAATTCAATCTCTTCCATTGTATACTGTAAGCTTCAATTGAATCATACTGCATTCTCTATAACTTGCATTAGCAGGATGTTTTGTCAAATCATAGTGAGTCACATAAGCTCGAAAGAAGAACAGTGGCTGTAAGATTGCGAAAAAAAAATAAAACACACAAATTATAGTATACAAAAATATTCTGTTCTACAATTATATTTGAATGATTATCCGTCGAATTCTTTCGGAAAGGGCACTGACTTTCAAAATATCTCGTTGATCAGCCACTAGTTTCAGACGTTGAAGGTACGAAAACGGTAGAATGGTACAGTAATTTCCAAATAAGAAGCTGCACATGGTATAGAATTGCCCGCTGTTTAAACCCGTCAGATGTACATAACCAGCCGAATAAACCATAGAATCATATAAATCTGGATATAACTTGAGAATCAATGACCACATCATTGATAAAATGAATAAAATAATCTGAAAATATGTTCGATAAATGAAGCTTCGAGAATTTCTTTCTTCTTTTTCTTTCTCATTGCACTCGTTGACTCAAATGTGAGAGAATGATCATCGAAACACACTTCCATATCATCTTTTAACTTGGAGCAAGCGTATCATACAGCTTGTTTCTTCACACATGGCAAATAGAGTGAGCGGTTATTTCTATGACTTCGCCAAAACAAGCTCAATTCATAAACAGGTTAATAAAGAGAAATACTAACAAATTGCAAGTTTATTGTTAACTTATAATCCTCAGATTCCTTGCTTCGAGGAGATTTATAAAACACATAAATAGTGAAAGCAAGCATGGCAGTATTGAAAAGGCAAGTCAGATTATGAAAATACTGATAGTATATATGATTGGGCAAGCCATTGGAGGTTAAACAGGTCCTCTTCGTCATTATAATTACAAAATAGCTAAAACATATAGTTAACTTCCAACATTCTATCAAAAGCTCATTGAGTAGGTACTAGTTAGACAAAAATTGTATGTGTTTCTACAAAGGGCGTATTCGATCCATTTATATGAATGATTTTCCATTACATCACTTATTAATATGAAAAGTGAGGAAAAGCCTGTTTTATATTTTTTCTTCTTCGTGTTTTCTCACAAACTCTCAATTGGCAACTGCTCTTGAGTGCAATCCATATATAGAACAATCGAGAAAAGTTGAAACTACAAGCTGGTACTGTTCATTGTATAACCTATCTGTCGAAGAATGTAGCCAAGTAGTTAAGCAATAAATACAGATGAATCTTTATATACTTTATGTGAAAATCGTTCTTCAAGGAATTTTATCAATGAGAATGTTAATTTTAAAATTTGTGAGAAACGATGCCAGTCTGAATAAGAACGGAAGAAGATATGAGAAGCATCACCCGCGTTGGACATCCATTTCAACTTAGAACCGGAAAACCGGAATGAAATATTCCATTTCAACTTTCCACCTTTTCTTTTTTTTCTGCTGAATGAGAAAGTTTCTTTTTTCACATCTTCATAAGAGCAAGCAATGCGAACAGAGTATGTGAATTTGAGAGGTGACCAAACTAGAGGTAATTGAAAGAGGAGAGAAGCAGAAAATGACAGGACAACTTTCAACTCCTTATTTGAGCTGAAAAAGCATCTGACCGAATGTCAAATAAAGTCCAAAATGTTTCTGTTTTAGAAGACAAACCAATTCTTTTCTAACAAAAACAATTCAGCCGTGTTTCTTCGTTTTTCTGCTATATCACTGGATGGGGCTGCTGCTTGGTTCGGAAACAAAGAGGATAAGAGATGGGAGAAGGGTGGGAGGTAATGATCGCTGAGAAAAAATGGTCTTCGCCTTTTTTTCTGCTGGAAGAGCTTAAAATTGAACGTCAAACAACATTCCTCAGCTATCAGTATCATTGAAAAATCCAGAAATATTAAAACAGGAAGTCGATGAGCATTCCTTTCGTCATCTTCAGATAATTGAACAACTACGACGATGATTGTTTGGAAGAGGGCGAATTTTGTTTGATTTGTCAAATAATCTGCACCGAAGAGCTGCGAGCAATCCTTGTATGTGCCGTTGTCTGCTTGTCAGATGATGATGAAGCTGTTTGTAAGCTTTTCTCAACACATTTTCTTGAGCAATGTGTGCTTCCTTGGTTATGTTGTTGTCTTTTCATCTGACTATCCGGATGATAGACTTCCATCGCACTGATGACCAGACCGTCTGCAGCAATTCCGGACCGGTCCATGTCCTCTACGTTTATCTCTCTGCTCTCATTATCTTTCTATCTTTCTCTATTTTTTTTCTCACTCTCTCTCCTTCTATTTCTCTGTCCGGCTTTCAGTTAATGGGCGGAGCTAACAAACGGTCATCATCATCATCGCCGTCAAAACGGACACACGAAGAACTATGCGTTCGCACATGGAAATATTATAGATAATCAGGAGAAACGGACAGATAATCGGAAGACTAACTGGACGCTCCTCTAGGGTCTCATATAAATATCTGCCGAGCAGCTAGTGAATCGTCCAACTTCAGACTTTTCCTTTTCCACATCTTCTCAGCTCAGGCACTGACCATATTTAGAAAATGATAAAGCAAACTATCATTATGCTTTGCGTGTTATTGGGTATGTTACAAGTTTTTTCATAATATTTTTTCTTTTTTCGTTGTTGTAAGAATGATATGCTTTGATCATTGAGTTTGTATTTTAAAATATTCATTTATAAATAGAATAAGTAGTAGACGATATGAGACAATTCGTTCGAATGTTTGACATTCAATTGGTGACACTCGACATTCAAAATCTTTTTTGGAACGAGATCATTACAAACAATGCTTTTCCCTATCATATTTGGAACATATTGCAGGCACAACTGCTGCTAACCCATGGATGATGTTTAATGACACCAAAATTGAGAAAACAAGTGAACTTTCCCGAGGTTAATTAGCTTTATTTTATTATCTCAACATTGCTCTCTGCTCAAAAAAACAAATACACAACAACAAGTTTTAGCTCTGGGTACTCCAGCTCCACCTTGTTGTTCGGATGCAATCAGTAGTATTGCTTGTCGACGACTACAATCAGCTAATCCCACCAAATTCTTGCAAAGGTTCATCGTTTTAAAATGTTATATCTTTACAAATGGCTATACAGATGTAAGGGTGATGCTGACTTCTCTTTGATCCAATGCTGCAACACTTGTGGTTTAGAAAGTGCAGCTGACCGCTATGAAGTTATTTTCCAACAGGTAATCATTCTATAAAATAAAAATAAAATATTCTATTATTCATCATCTTGTTTGTTCTATTAATCATGCTCATACCTATGTTTTCAGGGAGATCAATCAAAGCATTGTTTTGACAGACACAGCTCAGACTTCTGCGCTCGTTTCCTTAAGAGAGAGGATGTCTGGGGAAAGGTATAGCTCTAAAGCAACATATATCATCATAGATGATCTTTTCAGTCTCAATGGTCTTGCGACGGCCAATTCGCTAGCTTAGCTTTCAGAATTTGTCGAAAGACATGTAACTACTGTCGTCCAGATATCTATAGAAATCCATTAGGACGTTACAGCCCAACACCATGCGGAAAGCCAGCTGAACTCATTCCATTCTAGGAAGTGTTAGCCCAACGAACAAATTCCATTAAAAACTATTTATTGTTATGTTATTTATGGTTGTTTATGGAGAAAACGAAGAAATATTTATTTTTCCTCAATACTATTGTTTTTTAACTTTTGTCTTCTTCTCGAATATCATCGAAAAGATCATTTTTGAGATCATTTTTGTAATTTTGAAAAGCGCCCAAGCTAATGATAAAATGAATATTAATATATCAAGTGAATAGTATTGGAAGAAATTCAAATCGTAGCCGGCCAAATCTATGCTTTCAATTTTTCCAAAATGAGCTGAAAAAATAATATTTTTTAGCCATCTCCTTATTGTGTTTACCGGTCCTTTCAATTGCTTCCAAAAGAGTATCCTTTGCTGTCATTTTCTGGGACTTTATCAGTCCCGATAGCCTGTTTCCATTCCTGGCATAGCTTCAACAATTTTATTTTTCTAAAACATCCATCAAGGACTTCTACCTATCAGTTCCAAGCATTTCCTTGATTGTATTAATGACGTTGTCTCCTTTCAAATCGGTTTTCCATAAGATCTTGGAAGAGTTGAAACGAGCCATCATTCCAGCATTCTGATAATTTGAATTAGTTTGAAAGTCAGATAAGCATGCACCTGGAACTGATCGGCAAATATTGGAACCCAAATACAAGCTTTTCCTGATAATGCTGTCTCAATCAAACTGTTCATTCCAGCATGGCTGATGAAGAGCTTCACGCGAAGATCATCTGGAAAAATCGTTGTTTACTGCTTTGTATCCAAAAGTTCTTACTGAGAAGTTGCTTTTGTGGAAGCCAAGCTACAGTTTTCAGATTTGAAAACTTTTCCGATAACTTCATATCGCTTTGATCAACTCGCCAGACAAAAGTGTATTCAGGATATGCTTCAAACTGTTATTTTCAGGGAGAATGATATTTTATAAAGAATAAACCTCTTATGGCTTTGAAGACAGCTTCTCTCATATCTGGTAGCATCTCCGATGTTGAAGCTACCGACCCAAAGCTGATTACTATAACTCCCTTCTTTGCTTTTGAGAGTATTTTTTCGAACTCCTGTATCAATAGATGAGTAGGTAAACAGAGAACAAATCAAACTTCTGGCATAGTCTCAGAGGTTGAAGCTGCGATTCCACCAATGTACTTGATCTTGGAAGATGCAGCTCGAGCATAATCAAGAGTTTCGAGGGAGTTCATTAGGTAATAATTAGTTCTAGCATTTATGTCACGATTTAAATCGAAGTTTATACCATGTTTAGCAAAAAGTTTCTAAAAATATGTTGGCTGATAGCTGGAAACAGCTGAGTTGTACTCACTATATATCCTGAGAGGAAGGCAAACTTGAAAGTTAAACTGGATCCGGTGTGCCATAGTATGTTGATGAGTCTTTCAGTAAAACTCATCCGATCGGTAAAATAAAGTAAAGAAGCTTAAATTCAAACATTCCCAAGACTGTTGTGAAATAAATTAACCTGGCATATGGCTGTAAACCAAAGGTGCTTGGAAGTCATTGCTATAAGTGGACAAGAAGCCAATTGCCGATGTGATGACAAAGTTTTTTACTTTCAATTTCTAAATATGCTTTTGCAGAAGCTTATGATAACATATGATAAGAAGTGTTCTTTCTTCTCAATTGTTCTATCGGCACATAATACGATTTGATTTGTTCAAATTTCAATTATTTTTCTGTCCTTTGCAAAAGGATAGAACGAGGACTGTTTGTGTACAAAAACAACAGTGAAAAGGCTTACTTGGAATAGACCAAAAGAACAAAAAGCAGACACATCCATCACAGCTACATCATAGTCATCGTTCAATTTATCCATAAATAGATTTTGATTTTCTAATAAATCTATTGGAATATAGCATAATTGAATAGTTGCTGTTCAAATATGACTTACATTCACAGAATGCTAATTGAATGCTACTCACATTATGCAGTGATTTCAAGTTACCAAAAAATGCGTTTGCCTGATAATTTTTGCTGAGTTAAGATTGAAAAAGTATCGATTAAACCTCCCAGAAGCCTCGGGTGCGAGTTGCAAAACGCTGTTTGATGCTTGGAGGCAATTCCACAGTTATAGTTTTAGCTTTTGCACTGACCAGTTTTTTTGTTTTCTCATCAGGTAGCGGCATCAGAACTGTCTTAAAACATAGCAAATGATTTCATTGTTTGAAAGAATAGAATCTTGAAGCTGACCACGTCATGACCAGCCGAAATAACAACATCGACCATGGCCTTTGTAAACTGCGTATGACTATATCCGATTGGAGTAGAGTAAAATAGAACTTTATAAGAAAATACCACAGAAATCAAACAAAAAAATAAAACAAGTTTCATGGCGACCTGAAAGAAAGCAAGTTTAAAAGAGAGAGAGAAGAGTAGAAAGCATATTTTTTGTCATGAGGAAAACATTTTTTTACATCAAAAGCAAACGAGAGAGAAAACTCACTCCCAGCCAACTTTTCAACTCTATAGATCGTCAGACTGATTTAGGGTTGATAGAAAAATAAAAAATAAAAGAATCAATTGATAAACTGTTAGTACGTTCAAGTTAAGTTTGATAAGAAACGTTCAGTGTGGTAGCACTTAAGTGAATGAGAAGCCTTCGACTCTCTCGTTCGCGTGTGTTTTGACGGTAAATAAGAAGACGTCTTTTCTTTAAAAAACAATCTTTTTTCTGTTCTCTGCTGAACTTTTTTATTTTCTAATTAGTTTCAATTTTTGGGTATGCGTCACGGTTGAATCTTTTGTAATTCCCTTATCCAGTTTGTCCATATTTGGATTAATTATATTTTTATTTTTACTTCATCCATCTATCGCTTCCACTACAGCGAACGCCATCAGATTATGCTAATTGTAGTTCGTTAAACTTTCATTGATTAGAATAAATTTGTGTCACGTGACGACCGTGAAAATTATTTTTTTTTTCATTTCCCAAGCATCAAACATTATGAACGGTTGTCTACGACATTTCGCTTCTTATATCATTTTGTATCTTATTTTTTTTAAGTCTTTAACAACATACCATCAAATCTTAATCAAGAAGGAATTTAGAAAAAGATTGGATTTTACTACTCGGCAGATTATTTTATAACAGAATGAGCAAAAATCGTATTTCCCGCTTATTGTTAAAACAGAGATCAAAGAATATTACAGAAACAGCCATCCTACTGATATGTTACTAGCCTGGAACTGTGAAGCGAACGAGTGGAAATTCTTCTTCCATTTTCGATGGATTATACCCGTGAGCGCAAATGACCTAATTGGATTTTTTGTTTAAACGGAAAAAATGAAACGAAATACTTCGCCATCCATCCATTCCTCGTGCGAAACATCTCTAGACCAAAACAAAAATTTGTCATTATGATCTGGTCGAATCCGTAGAAGATATGAAACTATTCCAGCATATACGTCATCGAATGGGAACAGCTTAAGATACAAAGTCATTACCATCATGTACAAAATATGATCAAAGTAACATACTTTCACCAGTTGGATTGCATAAAAGAATCGATCAACAGTTGATTTTGATAATAGAACAGCTCCAGCTGTAATGTAGGGAGGATAACGATTATAGGGATAATCATTGACTGAGATCTGTAAAATGTTTTGTGTATAGTCACTCAAAACCGACATTCGTTTACAGCATGTTTGTGCAATTTGAAACGGAAAGGGCTTGTGTTGAACATCCAACCTTCATACATCTGCGAGAACAAGAAATGAATGAAAACAACACAGATATTGCAAAAACCTCATCGGTAGAACTCCTCTCATTCAAGAGCTTGATGAGGTTATGAGTAGAAAGCATGTAGTCATCGTCAATCAGAAGAACGAAATCAGGTGGAGAGCATTCATTTGATGGTCTGTGCGCATATCGTATCGAATACAAAAACTGTAAACAGAACTCTCATGCTCAGAAAAATGATTGCCGAAGTACTTTGAGAATGTTATTGTTATAAACGTCCGGCTTATCTATTACTAAGATGTCTCCATGGAGTTCTGATTCACGTTGAATAGCTTTAAAGAGGAGTTTACAGCGTATGCCTTGTATAGAAACGAACCTCCACTCATACTAAGCTGTTCTTTGTCATCCGGGAACTGACCTATGATAAAAATTGTTCGGATAAGGTAATCCTCAATGAACTTTTCATTGCCCCATGTGGTACGAATGATATCTCTCGCCTAGAAGAATGATAGAAGGTGAGGTTAACGAGAGGAACTACTCCTAACTTTGCTATGCTGAACAGATGACTTTACTATTATCAGAAGTTTATATTTCAGATCAGAGTAGTCTTTGCCACATCTCAAGTCCCTGAATGGAAAAAGGAAAAAATTGAATGGATACATACTGCGGTTCATGAATCGTTTGGAATTTATCCAAGTCGTTGACGATTTTCCCCTTCAATGGCTTTCCAAATAAAGCTGTGTGTACCTATAAATCCGCTCCGTTTTCTAGTAAGGATACTTTTGTTTAACCTGATCGAAAACGTCAACACTTTCAGGCACCCATTGAAAATTTTCAAAGGAAGTGGAACTTAAATGATCAGTCATGCCAGAAAAATAAACGACCATGAGAACAGTTGAAATCAAAAAATACTTCGCCCTTTTATGAAAAAAGCTGCGTAAAATCCATCTCAATTGCATTTGAGGTTGTAGACTTTCACAGAAATCTACAAAACCAGGTAAGGTAAGTAAGCAAAAGTCAAAAATAGAAAAACCCGAGAAGCTACGAGCATTTCAATTGGTTCACAAGAACATATAAGGTTTGATATTTATTAAATCAACATTAATAGTGGAAAGTAGAAGTGTCAGAGACGAACCCACAGAAACACTAAAAGACGCAAAAGATAGAAGAAGACATCTCAGAACTTTCGTAATGGGAGAGACTTCGAAAAGTTTGCTTCGTTGATAGCATAACTGACGTCCTCGACGACCTAAGAACTAACATTCTCAATAGTAGAGGGTAGGGGGTATAAAGAATAACAATCTGAAAGTCTCTGATAAAGATGATGAACCGTTAGAAAAGTGAGCATCCCTTAGATGGAAATATTTCATAACTTTTTCGATAAAAAGGAACGAATATATGAAATGTATGTTCATGATTATTATATAAAATGATATACGAAAGCTATGGAACAATAAATAGCCGATTCTATGTACATCCGAAATTTAACAAACATATACATCAATTAAAAATTAATTTCCTTCTTCTTCATATCGCTTTCAGACGGAAAAGAAAAAGAAAGGAAAGGGGAAAGAAAGAGAGGAGAGATAGAATAGATAGAGGTTAGGTATATGCGAGTTTGGATAAATCAACTCGTTTCTCATATTACGGAATGATAATATTTCGTGCTGCTTTCCAGAAATGTCTTATTATTGAGCTTCTACTGCTGTCCCTACGACAACTGTTGGCACTGTTGTTTCCTCATCATCTTCTTCTTCCATGAAGGTTTCAGAGCCATCCAATTGCCAATTCCTCCATCCAACCGATTCTGCGAAAAACATCCGATTGAGATGTTCTCCCCACAATAAAAACTAACCTGTTTCGAGCAGCTCGATAGAGTTCAAAAACTGATTGCCGTTAAAGCCTCCAATAACATAAATAACATTTCCAGCCGTTACAACTGCGTGGGTATTTGCTCTTAAATAAGAATATGATACAATGAGCTTCTCTGTTATATATTACCTGGGAGTCAACAGAGCGGGTCCATTTCGCCACATACCGTTGGGATGATCAAGGATTTCGACAGAACACAGGGATTGTGAACCATCATGCCCTCCTATGGCATACAAAGTGTCTGAAACATTAGTCATATTACCCTTTCTTGTAATATGAAAACAACCTCTTATCACAGCAACAGCACAACCGCGGCGAGCGACGCGTAATTTTGCCAATTGTCTCCAAGCATTTACTTTGGGATCGAAAGCTTCAACTGAGTCCATACAAGCCCATCTACACATAATGAGTTAAACATTCATAACTGTTTAGTTTCAAACCTATCACAACCACCGACAGCTACGGCTAAACCTCTCCAAGAGATAACTCCAGCCTGGTAACGAGCTTGTTCCATAGAAGGAATTTGTTCCCATTGCTTAATATGGGACTTGAAGAAGAGAACAAAAAGAGGTCGATACTTCCATTCCCTGCTTGAATCGATAACAATCCTTCATAACGACTTGATCACAAGAACCTCCAATACAATAAATGAAATCATCGAGAGCAGCACAACCTGAAATTGCACAGAACTAGTTATAAGATTAGCTGCTTTCAAACCGTTGTGACTTCTGGGTTTCGTTAAGGAAGGAATTGTTTCCCAGGAGTTGTTTTTGGGATCATATACTTCACCTGTTTTCAAGTCATGATTGCCATTGCTTCCGCCGACAGCATAAACCTGAATAATTCTATGAATTCAAAAACAATAAGAGCGATTATACTTTTCCATTGATAACAGCACTGTCGAATCTTCCCCGTTCATTAATCATAGGCTTCAGCTGTTTCCATTCCCCTTTCAACACATCGTATTCTTCGACAGTCTTTAGGCATTCTCCTCTATCATATCCACCACAAACGATGATCTTTCCATTAACAAATGAAGCTCCAATAGAGCAACGAGGACCACTCATGGTTGCCAGGGGTACGCGTTGACCCGTCGCAGAGTTTCTTTTTGTGACTATTGGCTTTGGTTCCGACGAGCCACTGTTAAGACGAGGTTTTGTCAACTCTTCATCATCAGTCAGTTGAATGCTCAGAGTAACTAATCTTCTATATAAAACTGCGAGAGCTACCCAATAATCGGCTGTAAAAACAATTATAAGTGAAGAACACAAAGTAATCAGTACCGGAAGTTTGATGAACAGTGATCAAACTTGTTTCGATGGTCTCTTGAGGATCACTTTCGTCAGTTCCTACAGAATTCAAACTTTCAGTCGATGAATATTTAACCTGAAAACAGTTAAAAAATATCAATCTTCGAGAAGAAACTGTAATGAGATATAAAAAAAAGAAGTAATGCTGTTAAAGGAAATGGTTCATACATTTGGGATACGACTGGCGTTCAGTCGTACAGGAACAGCTCCCGTAACTCTATGTTGAACTGGACCGATAGCAGCAGCATCCGCAACGCTATTGAAAACGCGAAATGTGGACAAAAACAAGAATTTTCTTACTTCGAAATAGCCCGAGCAACAGAGTTGCCAGATTTCTTATAGTCCTGAACGATGTCACAACTTGCAACTGAAGAGCGGTCATCCATCTCTGCACAATCAGCTAGACGCTCATCTTCTTCAACATATAAAAGATGAGTCTGAAATTGAAAGTACGGCATTGGCCAAGAGCAAAAAAATCTAATACCTTCACCGTTAGTACATCAACAGAATGATCAACACGGTCGTGTGGAATACAGTGGAAATAATCAAGAGCTCTCTGAGCTAGACTTGCACCGTTTCTATACTCTGTATGAAGTTGCTCAGCAGAAAGGATGATACGTATCTAGAAATATTCAAATAAAATGTTCCCCATCTCTTTTCTTACTTTCACACATGGTAACTGTGTGAATTCCACACTGTCTTCGGCAATTTTGTCCATTTCATCACGAATGAAACGATCTACTTTACCCAGTAAATAGGTATCATTGTTGAAATTCGCTTGGCGACGGATTCCTAGAAAAACAAATAATTTTACGAAAAATTGACTTTACTTTTCGACTATGCACTGATCACATCATCTCTTTCTCCACCACTCTTTAGCTCTCATGGTCTTTCTCTCGCCTCTCGAAAGCCAAGTAAAACAAACCAATGCAATTTTTGACGTTCAGATTGTCGCCCAAGAAAGTTGCACAGGCTCTCACAACAGGTTCCATTTGGAGAGCAAATGCAGTTTTGTAGAGTTCGGCAACTTTCTTCGAGCTGATTTCCAGACTGAAATCCCGACAATTCGTGATGTAAAACAGCAAAGAACATACTAAGCTGTATAAGCGAATGTCACCAAAGCATCGAAACATTCAAAGTCTGAATGAGCAAATTCGAAGTACGAAAGCTGATTCTTGGAAGAAGATCCCTGAAGAGCAATAAAGCGATGAAATTCATCCAAAAAAGGTAAATATATTTACCAGCGCAACTGTTGGAGGGACATGGAAACCGTTGTTGCTACCTCCGCCATTAACAGTGGAGTTTGGTGTTGAATTTCCTGGAAAAGAAAAAAAATAAGCTTGTTAACAGCGAACACGGACACCTTCGCTGTCTCGCTCTTCCTCATCAGATTTCAAGAACATATCGAACAGAGCCGGAGAAACAGCAGCTAGTACAACTTTATGTGCGAAAATTTCGCGTTCCCTTGAAAGTTAAATCTTATCTTCATATTCCGGATGTACAAAGCTTACTTAACAAATAAGACAACATCACAAAGCTCTCTGTTACATCTAAATGTATTCAGTCGATCCAGCAAATCATTCTGCAAACGAAAAATCAAGATATAGTTTAAGATTTGGCCATCAGCCGCTCTACAGTTCTATTTTTAGAATTTGTGTCATGACGTTATGATCTCTCAGAATACAACTACATATCCAAGAAATTGAGAAAATTTCAAATTACATTCTGTTGTAAAAAGATTTTTCTAGCAGAGTAGAAAGATCCCTACGTCACACAATTTTTTCATATTAGTATAAAACTGATTCTTAGAGAATAAGCCGTGGCTGGACTTTTGAACGCAACACGCGGCTAGCCACACCACCTGTTCTCATTTCAAAACGAAAAAAATGAATAGCGGTTGTATTCACATATCCTTTTCATCTTGTATCGACGTAACTTTCATTTATTAAAGACATACCTTGATCGTAGGATCGCGAAGCATAAGCTGGAAGTTTTCTCGTTCATCCAAAGTTTCCTGCCCCCAATTATCCGTATCGTCAGCTCTCACAGACACAGCACATCGTGTTCTTTTAGGCACAAGAGTTAGAACGTCACCCTGAAATCAAGTTTTAGTATTCGAAAATAGGCACACATCTCTTCAACATTTTTTCCCATAACTTCTTGCGTTAAATCAAAGAACAGCATTATCAAAATCAAGTCAAGTTCAGAAACCAAACAACTTGTTGTGAAAGCCTGTCATGGAAGTTCTCATCTTCACTGAGAATTCGCGGAAATCATTGTATTAGGTTCTAGCTATTAATTATAACCAAATAACTAAAGAACAATCGTCATAATGAACAGCTTCCGGTGTTCAACATCACTTTTTCTTTGAAGAAATCACATACATGAAACGAAAATTCTTCATTGATAAACATCAGATTTCTGCATATGTTAGAGATGGAATGAACCCTCGCACTATCTTTCTTTCTCTCTCATTCTCCTTAATACCCCGTTTCAAAAGAGAATGAGAATTTCGTCATTGAAACGGCACTAAGCTGACCAATAGACGATAAGGAAAACATCTGATAAGGACCAGTTCTATATGTGATTTTCACGTGTTTCAAATAAGGTGATTCCCAGTTTCATGGCAAAGACAGAAACTCAGACGACACAGACTCCTCGCTTAATCTTTTGGAAGCGTAGTCATCTTTCACTGATCATCTCAATATAAGCGATAACAATGTTAGAAGAAAAATCAAAAAAATTTGTCCAAGACATGAAAATACCTTTTTCGTCTGTCTTTCAGCTGGAGTTCGAGCAATCGAAACTTTTCTTTTGTGTTCGATAACTTCAAGAGTCATCTTTACGAAGTTTGTGTAGTTTGTAAGTAGTACAAGGTAGGCGAATAATGCCCCAAAAAGAGCCGAAGCTGAAAAAAAATAGAACTTAAATGGTAACATTGATAGCGAAGAAAAAAATATACGAACAAATAGACAATCATAAGTGTATGTATCAATAGAGATCTGCTAGGACCAACAACAACAACATGAGTCGAAAAAAGCAATGCAAGTTTCAAAAATTGGCATAAACACTTTTATCCCAAATCGGATAACAAGCAGGGCGGTAATAACTGTTAGAAGGAGAATAGCTAAAATTTGCTTCTACGAATTCAAGGATTTCAGGCGTGGTTATCACTAGCGGACAAGCAGACGAGAGAGAAATTTCCAAGTGGAGAAAGTGAAAACGAAGAGAAAGATGAATGAGGAACAAAGCCGTGGTGAGAGTAAAGATGAAGAGAAAAGTACAAGAGAAGCTGGAAAGATTGAAAGTTAGTAAATGAAAGTGAAAAAGAAAACAAAAAGAAAAACAAAATAAGCAACCAAAGACACAAATGTTTATACGTTTCTTCTCGAACATTTCTTCATTCCACTTGTTGATATAAGCGCTCAGAAGCATAAAGAATGAAAAGAAGTTGAAAAAGAAATCATCCATTAAAAGTTGACTTCTAAACACTTTCACATTACAACTTTTTAACAACTTTTACCAATTTTTCCACTTCAAAAACTTGATTTCAAAGTTAAACGTTACCGACTGCTGTCTGCCGTTTTTGATAAATTTTTCATTTCATTTTTAAAACTCCAATTTTGGAATTTCAAACAGCGCAATGATCGATCGAGCAGTGTCGACGACCTGACGGTCTTTTCGTGTTATGATTGTGTTTATACAGAAAAATATTAGTGGAGTAAATTTTGAGAAATACGAAGGACAAACTGAGCGGCTCCTCCTTTTTCTGTTTCTCTCTTCTCTCCGACATCCCCCTCTCTCTCTACCTCTTTTATCATATAATTATGACTGCCGGATAAGGAATTGACATTCGAAAATAATCTTCGATTGCTTGAAAAAGAACGAAAACTGCCAGGAGCAAAAATGGTTGAGAGAGCAAAGCTGCACGGGAGAGTAAAAAGAATCGAAGTAATTCAACAGAAAAAACACAGGCTTTTCATGTGATAAAAAGAACGGAGTGAAACCTCTATGACACCCAAGCTCGGTCAAAGGACAGGGGCAGTTGGAAAGCGAAATTTAAAACTTAAAAACAACCTTAGAGACCTCAGTCAACCTTATAAGGGAAATGAAATGACCTGATAAAAAGTATTTGGAGATGTGAATTGAGAAATCAAAGAGGGTTAATAAATATTTGGAAGGTTGTAACTGCGTTACGAGAGAGCAAGTGCTTGGACGATACACTGTGAATCAGGACGAGTTGTACTCTTGCGCTTTGTCCACATTTTTTGTCTTAAACTTCTAAAGCAGAGTTCTGAAGTTGCAGATGAACAACGATAGACAAAAAGAAAACAACACCGTGTTTGAAGGAGATGTTAAGAGATGGAAGTGATAATGTGGCGTCCATTTATAGTTTTGCAGACAAAAAAAGTAAAAAAAAAGAGGCGGTCTCCATCAAAACAATGTTGGAGATTGAGATGGGGGGAGCATAGCAGAAACATGAAGAACATGATTACCGGAAGTAAAAACATATTTGGAAGAGGAGGAAAAATCAACGAATGAGAGATCAAGAAATCAACAACAAATCAAAAATATCAAAAGCGTCTTGAAAGTCACGTGGGCTGCGAATGTCAAGGATACATATAAAGGCAACCTAATTGGGAAAAACTACCATCATCACCACTCCACTCGACGCCAGCATATACAGCGGATTTTTGACGCAGGTTTAGGGCAAACAGGGTTTTTCGAAATCAAATGTAGATGGCCACCTCTCCTTTTTCTTCGCAGGAGAAAATGAAACTGCCGGCAAGAGATTAGGAATGGTCAAGCCTTCGTTCGTTTTCTCTGTCTATCTCTCTTGGGCATTTGATGTGAAAAGAGCAAAGGATAAATGATAAACGATGATAAGATACGAAAGTAAAACTTAAACATGGAATGGTCATTCAAGTACTCGGCTTCAAGTACAAATGATCTTTGTTTTCTTAAAATCATAGAGGTTACGATCGGAGCCCTCCTGCCAGACAAAATAGAATGAAAGAAGGAAGCTGCCAAAAAAAAACATTCACATTAATGTAAAAAAGAAGACGAGGAAGAAATAAATGATATTCAGAAGAGCTAATCGTTTAAGCCGAATCACATTCAATCTTCCCCTACTCAAGAGCATTACATGAAGAAGTCGTGAAGAAAAACGTAAAATGAGAACAAAAAGTTCATATGGTTTATGGGAAGGAAAGAACATTTTAAAAAAAGACATTTTTGTTGCAAAATCGAAGATAAAATGTTGAACCTAGGCGGAACAGGCGCATCAAAGCTGCTGACCAGTCAAAATCATTTTACACACCTTCGGCGCATTAAGCGCAATTGTCAAAGTTCAGAAATCTTAACTAAAAACGAGAGAGGAGGGAAAAACATAAAATGATATCCTTAGAAAGATAACAGAAATCATCACTTGTGCATTATTCACACAAAAAAGTAGCCAGTAAGAATGTAATGAGTTTGTGATCACGAGGACGTAGAATGTCCATCTCTCCTTTTTTTTTCTCTGGCTCTCTCATTCATCTCCCTCTCCTCGCCGTTGGCCGTCGTTCATACATCCCATTTTCCCCACCCTCTTTTCCTTCACCATAAAGCTGAGACCTCGGGACATACACACACACACACATACACACATACACGCACAAAGCAGAAAGATAGAGAGAGAGAATGCGGACAGAAAAAGAAACGGGACGCAGAGCAAGTCTCGTCAATACGACAACGCCACTCAGAATATTTCGAGCCCATTTACAAACGGCTCTTTCTGAAATAAAATCTGACCCATGTGACAACATTCAATCCATCTCTCTTCTTGAGAGAAAAAACTGTATTAATATAGACATTCATAGCGAAAAAATGAGTATGAGACAAGGAATATCGGCGCTCCAAATAGAAAATTTCGAATTAGGGTTTGGCGCCGAAATCTCGTGGATCCGAAGAATCTGGAGAGGGACGCAGATGAAACTTTGCTGAATAGAGGAAAGAGAGAGGAAGGTGGAATAATATGAATTTCTGAAGAGGGGTAGAATGTTAATTTTTCATACTTTTCAACTTTTCTGACTTCCAACATTTTTCATCGTTGTCTTGGAGATTTTGTGACGACGAGAAGTTGTAGTCTGTCTTAGGAAACAAATGACAATAACATTTTTTTTCGCAAATAATTGATTGAATTTACAAGGTGGAGGAAAAATATAGTTTTATCTATAAATTCATGAAAAGTTGAAGTTTTTTCAAATAATCTGTGTAAATAAAATGATTGAGAATGCAAGCAGGGGAAACATGTTTTGATTTTTCGAAACATTCAACTGTAATTACCTCTTACGATCCTTATATAGATGACATAGTGAATAAGCAATTTATGGCTTTGAAATGATGATTTTTATTTGCTTTATTTCATTGCTCGCAAGTTCATTATCAAACGTTTATCAGAAAATGAGATTAAAGATTCTAACTTTGCAAATGAAAGCAAGTAAAACATGAACACGGATTTCCGAATAAAAAAGGCGTGGGAGTTGGAGGATTTATCTCTCTATCCTCGGCCTGATTAAGGGTTTCCACATTGCTTAATTTGTTTCTTTGATAGAAATTTCCCTTACAATCATTTCTCCTCTCGATGATTTTTGATTCTTTAAGAAATTGTCTTCGTGCTTAAGAGGAAACGACGTGCTTCTGGCCGAATAAACATCGAGCTAGACGATAGGTAAGAACATTAGATAGTTTTGTTAGAAATTCAAACTTGACTTTAGCAAGTACTTGATCAGCTAGCTTTGTACCTGGAAGTAATGCTTCCTAAATAAATACTTAGGTAAAGGTCCGAAAAAGTCCAAAGGTTCTGTCATCATGAGGCTTATCATCATTTTTTCATTCATTTGAGAGCAAAATTATCAATAGATGATCAAAAGATGGTCAAAAGGGAACAAAAAACATTAAATGGATGAAAGAAAACTGATTGGAAAGCTTATAGAGCAACTTGTTAATGCAGAAAAAAAAGTTCGTTTTCGTTAAGAAAAAGCTGAGAAGACATGACTTGCGCTCCTCCTTTGTTCCATTTGGTACCCAACATTTCCACAAAAATCAAACAAAAAATATTTTGTTTACAAAAAAAGTCATGTGATTAGCTGAAAAAAAATATTTTCGAATAATATTTATCCGAATCCTCTTAATCACAAACA